TTATTACACTCATCTCAAAACACAGTTTAAAACAATTACTTCTCAGTATCTGAAATGTTTGGAAATGGCAGCCCCAGAGAAAAATACACACCAGCAAATCTGTCACTTTAAGCTCCACCGCAGGACAGAACAGCAGAATGTTTCCATGTGCTCTTAATAAAGCCACCAGCCCCAGTGTTAATATCATACTGTCAAGGGAAGAGGGCACTGCTTTTCTCATATATATGGAAAATAGTTTTCCTGTTCCAAACCAAGAGGCAAAGTAAAACAAAAGGCCTTTTACTGGTCCCTCTCTATGAAGGGGGTAACTTAGAAAATGTCCACGGACTTTTAACACAGGGCTTTTCCTTTGTGACATGGCAGCTACTGACGCACATGGCAAATCAGGACATACAACTCAGAAGAATCTCTCACCCCCTCTGTGCTAAGAAGTTATTTCATTTACTTATTTCATTACCTCAGATATACCAGAGCAGTCTACCCAAGAGATTTTTCTGAGCCTGGGTTTAAACCAAAATGCTTTAAAAGGCTTGTATAAAAGCTATAGTATAGGGGAATATGAAGGGCCTTGTTGCTATTCCCTCAAAGGAACAGTTTTGAAAACCCTGCTGGTGGCCCCCACTTTGTTGGCAAACACTACCTCAAGACTCCTTTTACTTCCCAAGTTACCTGAATGGTAACTGGCTGGCTGATGATGATCCAGGTGTGGCTCTTTTCACACTACCGGTTATAATGCTATGATTCCACTAACTGTCATGGCTGCATCCTATGGAATCCTGGGATTTACAGTTTAGGGAAGGGCCTTCAGAATTCTCATACAACAAGTTCTAGCAACTCCTCAAACTACAAAGCCCAGGATTCCATAAGCAACAGCCACTGCAGGTAAAGTGGAGGCAAAGTGGTGTAATTATGTGATATGAAAGGGCTCTTGGACATTAGGAGAGCATGAGGTGGGATGGTGGAAGACTGTTCTAGCTCCTAGCCTCACTCTTTTGCCTGAGAGCTCACTGGACACCCTGCAATGCTCCACAACAAAAAGCAAAGCTGCAATACCAGAATGAACCCCACAGGAATGCAGCAGGCACAGGGATGCACCACAGCTTTTCATCAGCCCCGAGTGATGCAACAAACCAGCAGAGTTAGGGATCCAGGAAATGTTATGCAGTCTAGTTGGAGTGTGTGTGTGTGTGTGTGTGTGAAGAAACTTAGTTTTCCCCAAGGAGGTAAGTGAGCAGACATTCTAAGTCACCCAAGATCCTCAGCGAGGAGCTTTGCAATTCTCCCAGGGAAGTGTGACTGGCCTGCTCACATAGCTTAGCAATTGGGGCACCTAAGTCTCTCTCTTAACAAAAGGTATTTGCTTCTTCTTGAGAAAATAGCATGGTCCAAGGGTTCCATGCCTAGCATTACTTGCAACACCAATCAGCAGTACACACAAGAGTGGGAAAGGATGTCGCCTCAGAGTTGGCTGAACTCCCAGCTATTTTAGTACTTCAAACCTTTATGCAGGATCCTCTTCTCTTCAAAGCTAGGCAGGAAATTCTGAGTCCTTACCAACCAAAAAGTAATGTTGTGCCTGCTAAGTTCCCACTTCTTGACTTCAGCTGTGTGCCACTAGCTTCATAATGTAACTTAAGATAGTCAGAAGTACGCAAATTGACTAAATAGTTTTAAAGAATTAGAACTGCTTCATGTGGGTCTTTGGCATATATTTATCTGTTGCTACAATGCAAAACTTCTCCCTCACTTAACTGCACTTAGAATTTTTTGCTCAATAATGAGTTTTTGGATATGCTCACTGAGGCTGGCACCAAGCCTCCTGACTTGGAAACCCCCCTGCATCTCTCCAATTTTCCATCTTTATTTCCCTGTTATGTAATAAAGTTATTTACTGGCATGGAAAGTAGTCTAAAACTAAAAGGGGAAAAAACATTATCTGGAAATCTAATCATTTCTTGTGTGCCTTCAAGTCATTTCTGACTTATGGCAATCCTAAAGCTGTGACTCGCCCAAGGTCACCCTATGGGTTTCCAAGGTCGAGTGAGAATTCAAATCCTGGTCTCCAAAGTCATAGTCCAATGCTCAAACCACATTGGCTTGCAATCTGGGCAATAGAGTTTTTTTTCTGGGGTGGTGGGAGGTTTGGTAGAACCAAAAGCCTGGGAGATCTATTGCCTATTGTCACAGCTCTAATCCCAGATTTTTTTATGTTCCTTCAAGTTGTTTCCAATTTGTGACGACCCAATTTTTCTCTGCAAGATTTCTTCAGAGGGGGTTTACTTTTGCCTTCCTCTGAGGCTGAGATAGTGTGACTTATCCAGGGTCACCCAGTGGGTTTCCATGACTGAACAGGGATTTGAATCCACTATACTGTGTTGGCTCTTATGCAGGGAGAGCGAAAGTCCTTACTGAAAATGTGACAATAGGGATTTAAGATCTATTGGCATCAGGTTACAATGTGGGGAAAAAAACCCAACCCATCCCACCTGTTTTGAAAGCCCTAAGTCACGACTACTGCTTTTATTCCGGAATTTCCCTTGCAGAAGAAAGGACAGAGCAGGAGGAAAGAGGAAGGCTAACAGAGAAAGTCCTTCCTTTGAACCCCATAAAACACATTCAGAGACATGGCCATGTTAGTCTGGAATATCAGCATGGAAAGGGCCCCTGTAACACATTTGAGACTGAGGGAAAGAAACTGTAGCAGGAGCATTCATAAACTGTTTAATTAGATGCTGCCATTTAAGCCAGTATGGCATAGCGGTTTGAATGTTGGACTAGGATTCTGGGAGACAAGGGTTTGAATACCAGCTCAACCATGAAAGTCCACTGGGTGACCTTGGGCTAGTCACACACTCTCAGTCTCAGAGGAAGACAATGGAAAACTTTTGCCAAGAAAACTCCATGATAGGTTCACTTTACGGTCCCATAAGTCAGAAACGACTTGAGGGCATACAACAACAAAGCAATATTCATGTTTTTGAAAAGAAACTTGCCAAGAAAACCCCGTGATAGGCATTCAACAAATTTATCACAAACCTGATGAAGCA